GTCAAATCCACAGAATTAAACTTACTCTTCAAATTTAGGCTTTCACCTTCCTGCTTTTCAATAAACTCTGTACAAAAAGTAGCTATAGGCATATTGTTAATTAGGCATGTTTAAAACTAAATAGAAATTATCAGTATATGCTGACACTTCATTTTATAACCTGAGAAAGTTAAGACTGTGTAAATAGTGACGATGTGGTGGCGCGTGCCTGTAATCGCAGCTGTTGGGAGTCTGTAAACAGGTGGATCACTATGAGTCCAATCTAGTAGTGAGACCGTGAACACCCTGTAGACCCTTCCCTAAAAATACAAACAAACAAACAAAAAAAGATTGTGGAAATATATGTAATTTTGTTTCATCTATATCATTATGTTATTTATTTTGTGTTACACCTATTGAATTAGTAGACCTATAAGCTAAGAACAACCTTTAACTTCTAAATATCTCCAGACAAGTTGTACTCTATTTGTCATTTTATAAATTTATAGGGTAAGTAAATCTTGACACATTAGCTGAGGATTGGGACTTGACATTTTCTAGATTGCCTGTATTGTTTTAGGTATAAATCGAACTACTAAAATTTATAGTTTTTGGGTTTTTTATGTTCTGAAAGATCAAGTTTTACAAGGTGAAAAGATTTCTTTTGTGTGTATGTATTTTAGGGAACAGTCTACAGGGTGCTCAGGGTCTCACTACTAGATCAGACTCATAGTGATCCACCTGTTTACAGACTCCCAAGAGCTGGGATTATAGGCGTATGCCACCACACTCCGTCTCAATTGCCATCTCAGCAGGACCCAAGGGTGGGGCCAGTGAGGCAGGACCAGGGATCAAACTCCTGGCCCCTGAGCCTGCTTGCAGGCACTTTAATCTGCTGAGATATTTGGCTGGCCCTTGAAAAGATTTTTTAAAGTTCCCTGATAAATATTTCTCCCAAATACTTCAAAATCCTTTTTATTATCTGTTTTAAGTCTTTATCAATTACTTTCCTGTTGTTAGGGCAAAAGATGCTGGCATATGCAAGTCAAAGAAGAAGACATTTATTGTGGCTCACAGTCTCTGAGGGTTCAGTGCAAGTCTGACTCATTTCATTGCTGTGAGTCTGTGGTGACCAGAACACATGGTTTTAAGATCAAGATAGAGGAAAGCTGTGAAGATCATAGCAACTTAGAACAAGAATGGGTGGAAAAAACTGGAGAGACATGGGCTGAGAGCCAAAATATAGTACGCAAGGTTAAACCTCAATAGTCCACTTCTTCCATATTCAGCTACAAACACATCAGTGAGTCAATGAAGTAAAGTTGTTGCTTTTGAATTCTAGTCATGTAGGAATCTCTTAATCTAGTCTGGTTAACATGAAGAATTAACTGGCAGAGTTCAAAGTCTTTTATCTGTACATAGATTAATTTGTATCTTCTTCACGAAGTTTTTATAGTTATACTTTGCATACAGTTAATCTTTTCTACAGAGCTTCTGTACTTCCTTACTTGATCTAGTTTATTACTTATTTGTTGCTTTGGTTTTTTTCAAATTGTTTGAGTCCATAAAATTATGTTTATTTGAAAAGTATAGTGTAGGAGTCTCTTCCTGGTTCTCATCTCAGTCCAAGAAGTTAATATTTGTAATCCCAAAGATATGTTATTGGAATCCCACCAAGTTAATTCCAATCTACCATACCCAGTGCAATCCAAGGCGAATGTAAAGACACTAAAACATATTTATAATTATTGGGGAGCCAAGGGGCCCTAAGTCCAGCCACGAAGATGGCTTTCCAGAACCAAGAAGCTGACCCAGGGCCTCACTCGGTTTTATTCAGTGGAGGAGTGGCTTGAGGAGGAATGACTGAGAATTATGGGAAGTAGGTGAGTACTGTGAGCTGATCTAGGTGGGTGGCCTACATTTACCTCTGCCATATGCAGAGAGGATATGCAGAGACAGTAATGGGCATTATGTTTATGAGATAGCATCTAATGTTTTGGGGAGTCTGGTGCTTTAGCTCTGATGTAGTCTTTCAAGCCCCAGGAAGTCATAGCCTCTGTCTCCAGGCTTAATCCCAGCTGACAGCATGGAGCATTGGCTCTTCATCCTGTCTTAACCTGGCTCACATTAAGGAGCAGCAGGTGTAGGTTATCAGGGAAACACACATGCCACCTTCAAGACTATCACCAGCACCTCAGCTAGACCAATGTACATTGCTTAAGGCCAATTGAAAGGGTAAACAGAAGTCTTACACAGCTCTGTACATATCAATATGAGGAAATAGGATCAGGCTCAGTCAAAATGGAGACAGTCGCTCTTCTTTCAAGGAGAGCTGCTCAGGTGGTGTTCCACATATAGCACCTAATGTGATTAATTTCCTTGGGCCTTCTTTTGGTTTAAATTCTAAAAATTATTTGTGGGTAGTAATGATATCTGATGACTGTAGCCTCAAAATTAAAATATATTATTTCATCAAAATTAGGAGTTCGTAATGATCTAGAAATTTCCAAATATGTCTATTTTTAAGGATGTTTCCACTATATTATTATTAATATCGATTGATTCATTAACTCAAGAAATATTTATCTAGCATCTCTTACGTAACAGGTTTACTTTATAAGATCTTGGTTCCTATGGAGTGTTTATCCCAGTGAAGGGAGCTGGACAACAGAGAAATCAATAGAGAAGTGAACAGGAAATTATCAAAAGACAATGAGTGCCATGCAGAAAATTTAAGCATGGTAACCATACAGTGACTGGTTGACAACCTCATGTAGAAAGGTAAAGGAAGTCTTCGGAGAGTAGCATTCTAGAACATTTCAGTTGAGGAGTTAGTCTTTTTCTTTTCTCCTACAGTGGAGATTGAACTCAGGACCTTCCACTTGGCTATATCACCAGCCCTCTGAAGGAGTTAGTCTGATTCAGATAGAAAGAAAACTCTTCAAAAGGGAGAACCACATAGTCCCAACTGTGGGATGTCTGTGAGTGTGAGAAGAGGACAGACAGTGAGGAAGCAACCAGGAGCCCTGCGGGTGGCTGTTTAGGTTCTATTCTGAGTGCGGTGGGCAATCCTTGGAAAGGTTAACCAAGTGAAAGAATTGTGGTAGAGTTTACACTTTTAAGTAATAATACAATATCATTTCTTCAAAAGTACTCTTATGGTACTAGCCTTTATCTCATTATGTTTAGTATAAATATGAGATGTAATTGTAGTACTTGACAGTTTTCTATATCTAGGTCATTTCTAATATGCCATATTTATATAAAATTTTTAAAGTATAACATTATGATATAAATAATAAGATAGTAAGTAATGACTCTGCTAAACATCTTCCCCAAAACTGTTGTCAGTTTCCATTTTCTCTGGTAATATATGAGCATATTATTTATTGTAAAGTTCCCAACTTTAGAACTGGCATCATAAGTGGCATGTTAATTTAATGAGCAAAATCCAAATGTTTACATATATTACATATAGAACCTGAGATGAAGCTCTAAAGAAATTAGTGAAATTCTCTATATTAACTTATAATTCATCTCTGTTGAAATTTATATAATTTATCTGTTATTTATCTCTATTTACCTTATTCTAATCTCACTGTTCTGCTCTGATTATAGCATAGCATGGTGTTTCTAGGTCTTGGAAAACTTTTTACAGGTTTTCTCAGAGGCTCAACAAGCAGTATAATTTGGCCTTCTGCTTTAGGACTTTCAAATACTGTTCTAACTCTAGTTCCTACAAACCAATGGCCTATCTGTTGTTGAGTCCCAAACTCTACCCGTTCCCAATTTAAATTGTTGTTCTAAGTCAGAATGGAGAAATAATGACATCCTTTCTGGCTCATATAGGTAAGACAGAAACTCAAACACAATTGATGAAGTGATCAATAATTATTTGCCTCACCACCACAATGCTCACTTATCCACAAACAAGCCCTCTCACTAGGAATTATTGTTGACAATTATCACCTCCTTTTAAGTTGTAATAACTATATTATTGCATCATTCATTAGCTCACTGGTGTTGGAAAGCTTCATATCAGTACATTGTATTTATTAAGTCTGTATTAATTTCCTAAAGTAATTTTCAAGCCAATATAACATTCCCTCTAAAGCATATTATAAACATAATATTACTTAGCCATTTCATAGGTGCATGTTCTACCTGCTCGTATCTCAAGCTCACAGTTTGTGCTTTGTAGAGCACATCTGACTGAGTGAGCATTCAGTACTTGTTGATTGCACAACAGTTATAAAGCATAATTGCATATTTTATATCATATATGACATTAATACTTGTGGTTATTTACTGATGTGCCTCTACAAGCAACTCTGAAAAATTACAAATAATCATTCTTTTTACTATTTGAAAGAGGAACACTCTTCTCAAAAATTTAGTTTGGAGGTCTTTATAGTTTTTGTGCATGGATACTGAGTGGAAAATTTTACCTTCCCATAATGTTTCAGCTTTGACCTGATTTGACTTTAAAAACAACACTAAGGTGATTCTTAATCTTCTTTCACCAATGTTCAATGGAGGCAGAAATTCAGAGCACAGTTTCAAGTTAGCCAGTGACAGACCTGGCTTCTCTTAACACGGCAGGCCCAGGATATCTGAATGGCAAGGAATGCTAAGAGCCCACCTCTTCTGTCAACCTTGGTAAACATTGACTGATAGAATTAATTTTATGAAAGGGAGAACATTTGGAAAACACAACTTAAAAAAATAAAATATTTTGAAAAGTAATGAAAGTTTAAAAAGAAAGGAACATAGAAAAGGAATATTTATCTGATCATTAGCAGTCACTTGCCTAGCTGTGACTGTTTTCTCATCTGTCAGATAACTGTAGTACTCTAATTACTTCAAAGTGCTATTAAAATATAAGGTACTACAGGTTCAAATCCTGTATAAAGTGCAAAGCACTTAGAGAATAAGATAGCACACTTTTAAAAAAATCTACCTTTCAGAACCAATAGTTTAAAAAGTAGTAAAAAAAAAAAAAAAAAAAAAAAAACACTTACCCTCAAATGACAGCAATTGTACGCCAAGTAGAATGCTATTATAGATTTTGGTATGAAATTGTTACTCCCAGTTAGTGCATTTAAAATTGGCATCGTTTTGCTGACTGCCAAACATATAACCAAAAAACTTTCAAGAAGTCAGACTGTACAGCCTGGGGAATAAAATGACTAGTTTTGAAAAACATCTTGTTCTCTGAACTTTTAGGAATAGTTTACGAGTTTTTCTTTATAAGTTATAGCTGTCTTTAGAGCAATGGAAATTCATTGTGTTTCTTTAATTTCTGGCCATGTCTTTATTCATGTTCATATTAACGGAGATGATGCTCACATGGTTTGATTGCCTCCCTGTTGGACTTGGGGAACAATCAGAAGGAAAGCTTTGTAGGGCCACAAGCACAGCTGACCAGCGTGCTCTTGCTGACAAACCTAGACGGGGGACTAAAAACATGTTTTTTCAGGATTTACATCTGCTCATTTTCAATTTTGAAAATTAACTATAGTGGGAATATACATAAAAGTGTCCAAGTGCCTTAGTCCTGCCAGGCCACTGTAACAAAATACTGTTCTTGAATTAATTTTTAAACAAAAAAAATTTAGTTCATAGTTCTGGGTGATGGCAAGTGTGAGATCAAGGTGCTCACAGATTCTGTGTCTGGGATTACAAGCATGTGCCACCACGCCCGGACTAGGTCACCAGCCTAGCAGGCCCAGGGGTGGGGCCTGCACTACATGTGGTACCAGGGATCGAACCCTGTCCCTGTGCTTGCCTAAGCAAGAGCTTAGTCCACTGAGCTATCTCGCTAGCCCTTAAAGCCACTCTTGAAGGCTCTGCCCTTCAGACCTATGCACTCCCCAAAGAACTGTCTCTTCATAGGAGTCAAGATTTCAACCTTAGAATGGGGTTGGGGAACCACAAACATCTGGAGTACACTAAAGAGTTTTCATCTTCAAAGTGAGTGAAACCCTATATACATCATGTAAGTGTGCATGAATAATTCTGCACAAGACTTTAGGGCAAAGCATGCTCTTTGATGTATTTTTAAGCTAAATTTTACTTCAAATCCCTGTTATAAGATACACAATTGAGAATAAATTTGCTCTTACATTTGTGTTCTGTCTACTAAATTCTTTTTTTATGTGTTTAGTACAGTGTCTACAGGGTCTCATTATGTGAATCGGACTTGTAGTGATCCTTCCTGTTTTCAGGCTCCCAAGAGCTGGGATCACAGGTGTGCACCACCATGCCCAGTCTCCATCCCCATCTCAGTGCATACCAGGGAGCAGGGCTGGCACGGCATGCCCAGGATTGAACCCTTGCAGCTGCACTCTGCTCAAACAGGCCCTTTAGTCCACTGAGCTATCTGGCCAGCTCATGCCAACTAAACTCATTTGAATATCTCTAACACACTTGAAGTTGGGCTTAAAAAGTACGATGACACATTCTATTTGCTTTCTTTATATTATTGGCATAATTTATGCTCCTATTTTTTACCCTGAAATATGTGAAATTGTCTAAGAATTACTATTGAAAAATCCATTTGACTAGTGAACTCATGTCAAGATTTACAACTTACATAGACTTACAAGAGTTGTATATAACAACTATTATAAACACTATATATATATATATAACATGTTTTGTAGAACAGTATGTTTAGATTTCATATATATATATGTACATATTTACATCTATGAATGTTGTTATACTTCATTTAACATTTAAAAAAGATTAAGGGATAAAAACACAGTTACTATGTAGAGGACTATGCAATCTAAATCCATTACAAAGGCTAATATTGATTTCTGGGCTCTGTAGTACGTAGGTCCATGTGATGCTGTCGTTTTGAGCTTTGCTGTGTGTTGAATCTCTCAGTCTTTGGATCTTGGATGAGGGTCATCATATTCCCCTGAAGACTTTGAGAGTTTTAAGGCCTTGACACACATGAAACGAACAGCATGGCATCCTGCATCACCAAAGAGGTACTTGGTAAATTGTGAGCATTTTAAAAGCGTAACTTACATTGTGTATAAGCTGAGCTCTTGAATTTTCTAATGGAAATATGCAAAATAAAACATTTGAAGATACTCTTTTTTTCTAGCTCTTAGAGTAATTATTAATAAAAGAGTACACCAGTGTCTAACACCAGCTCTCTAGGAACTTGAAACACAGATTCCAGTCCATGTGAATTATTAAAGGAGTGCTCTTTAGGAGAAATCTGTATGAATACAAATGAAACAGGACAGGAAAGGAGAAAGAGCTGACCAAGGAGTAGCTGCTCCTTTACATAAAGATCAGGCAAGATATTTCTGAACAGGGGTTACTTTAACTAAGAAGCAAAAATAAGAAATGAAGGAAGGCTCGTGAAAATAAATAGAGGAAGATACACTAGGTATACTGAGTGGCAAATTCAAAAATCCTAAAGCTTGACTTGTTTGAATAGCACTGTGGACTCTGGTCCATCTAGAGAGGAGAAAGTGATGATAAAAGTGCTATGAAATCAGGCCAAACAACCCAGAAAAGTCAGAGTTCCCTTTGGGTTTTTATTCTAATTGTGGGACAAATTATCTCAAGATTGAAAGAAAGTATCTTCATTTCATTAAAATACAAAAAAGATTTTTCTTTATGATATTAGATTATGAGGAAGGAGGAGGTTTTAATGTTTAAACAGATCTTGTCACAGATTTTGTCACAAGCAAAAGATAATGGGGAGTAGCACATTTGGGAAGTAATGGATGTAGCAAGAAGGGGTGAACTGTGGAATATATTTGAAGTTTAACCATCATAATTTGCTGATGGATTAGACTTTGTCCTTCTCAAGCAGTAAACTCTGAGCTAGTTGCATTTGCAGCATCATTAGATTAGTAAAACTACATGTTCTTTGGTCTCATCCCAGACATTCAAGTAGAAATGTCCAGATATGGCCCAGAAATCTATGTTGGGATCAGGCCTTCAGGTGACCTCGTGAGCACTAATGTTTGACAGGGACTATTGTACCACTTTCTGTGTGCAGGATTTGACTTTTCCAGACACTTCATCATATTAGTCAATTTGAGCTACTATGAAAAGGTACCATCAACTCAGTAATTTAAACAAGGACTTATTTCGCACAATTTGATAAGCTGGGAAGCCCAAGGTCTAGATCCCGCTTCCTGGTGCATGCTCTTTCTCTGGCATCTGTATGTCTACTTTCTTGATATATTCTCATGGTCAGAGAAAGAGAAAGCTCTTCCGTATCTTCTTCTCACAAAAGTGCAGTCTATCAGATTAGAGGCCCAGCCTTGTGATCTCATTTATGTTATCACTTGCTCACAGGCTCTTTCTCCATGCATAGGCATGTTAGGGGTAGGGCTTCAACTGCCAACACAGTGTAGTCCGTGTCACTCCTATAAGCTGAATTATATTGCATTTATTGTAGGGGTTTTTATTTGTTTGTTTTTATGACTGGCTTATTCATTTAGAAAAATATAATCTTAATGTGTTGTTCTGAAGTACCTATTTGATATCCAAATGAAATATCAAGGTTGTAGATGATAAAAAAGTACTACATGCTTATTTGCTTTTGGGGGCCTACCTGAAAAATATCAAATTCAATATAAAGTCTCATATCAAATTGTCTTCCATTTAAAGTGAGTTTTAGATATGAAAAGCAGAAGATTTCCAAGCTATATTTTGAAAATTAACTTCTTAAGAGTCCCTGCATGAAAGTTATGCATCCTGGATTTTGAAACAGAAGCTTTGATAGGAATTTTGAGTTTGCCATTACTTGAGTGACATACACGATCTGTTTTATCTCTCTTGGCAAATGTAACTTTAATGTAGATTCAGAATAATTGCTTCTTTTGGAAAGTGTTGTTTCAGAGATGTGTGTTTGAAAACACATGGAACCTGCTAGATATGCAGTGTGTATATTTGAAATCTGAATTTAGTTTTATACTTTTCATGTTAGATTATTAGTTTCATTCTATTGATAGATTTCTCTGTGCTTTTAGCTTTAATATTACATTTGTTAGTATTTTTCCTGTTTTTCAATTATTCCAGTCTACACTGTATTTGCCTTATTTGCATTTGTCTTATTCCAGTCTATGTTATATTAAAACATATAATGAGCCATGCATGGTGGTGCATACCTGTAAGCCCAGCACTGGGGGGGGGGCGGTTAGCCAAGAGGACTGCCATGAGCTCAGGGCCAGCCTGTGCTGCATAAGAAAGTTCAAGCCAGCCTGTACTATGTAGTGAGACCTTATCTGAAATATCTGTCTTCTATCTACTGTCTGTCTGTCTGTCTGTCTGTCTGTCTGTCTGTCTGTCTATAATAAAACATGTGATAAACTTATATGGTTCATGTCTCAGCAATTTTCTCATTGGTAGAACAAAACAACCAGGCACCTGAACTTTCAAAAAGGAGAGGATTATTTGGGCTTACCATTTCAGCCCATGATCAAATGACAGCAAGGCAGAAACACACTGGCAGAGGGCATGGCAAAGTAAAAAGTGCTCTACCACTGCAGCCAGGGAGCAGAGAGCAATGGGAAGAGCTGGGGGTAAGAGTTCACTTTTTAGTGACCCATTTTGGATCAAGCCCCACCTTCTAACAGCACTTTCAGTAGCTGAACTTGCCAATGGCTGAGTTCCACCCACTGATAAGCCTGGTGCCTGTGATCCAATCACCCTCCAAGTTCATAAGGCCTTTTGATCTAAACCTCAACAATTTTCATGCATCTAAAATATCAATTCCTCACTGCACAGTATTAGGAATTAAGAAAAAATGTTGTTTACTTTAGGAAAGATTGTAAACAGTTGATTGCAAAATCCTTGAGAATGAATGATAAAATATGTCATGCTTACCGTGTGTTTTCTCAGATATGCACAGTTATCTTGTAAGCAACCTGACCTCAATTAAAATTGTAGAATATTCTCTGTTCATATTTTGTGTGAGGCATTAAATGATACATTTTACCAGATTTGATAGCTATAGAATTTTTACATGTATTCCTTCTCTTTACCAAATATATTTAATGAGAAAACTACCACACTAGCATATAAATGCATCCAAAAGTCAGTGATCAATTTGAGAAATAAGAAACAAAGAATT